ATTTGATACAAAAAACCTTAAGGATTTGAAATTTTGACGAAGATTACACTTAAACGTCAGGTAAAAAGCTTTTTTTACTTGACATCCCAGATTTTTTTCAAATTTTGTTGGTTGACGAAATCCAGGTTTTGGATCTGAAGAGAATGGAGAGAGAACTTAGAAAAATTGGATATCTGTAAAGTTGCAATTCTTAAAAATGTAAAAATCTTCCAGTTACTGGGCTGTCTTGCTTTGTGTAAGAGCATATTATTTCTAAAAAGCATGTCGTTGCTATAGACAGTCTCTTAAAGTTAAACATTCCATCTCTTTGTCTTCTAGTTTTTATTATCGTATAAGACGTAATTTCTATGACTTTTACTGAAGGCACAATTAGCCTTTTTCATTCACAGTGCTGACTGTTTAGCTGATTGACATCCTGATATGAGCCTTGAATGTTGTTTAGCTTTAAGCTCTCAATAATGTGCTTTCTTTCCTTATTTTGTACTGGAACCACCGATCTATGCGCATAAGAGGAACATGCTCTAACTTTTGCTGTCTTACCCAAGCCCACTGAATCTATGCCCAAGCGCCTTTTGCGTATATTGATCGTATCACTGACTAGTTTATTAGTTACACCGCAAAATAATACAATAGGTATAAAGCCAGAAAGAGGCGTTTTAATAACTATTATATACCTTGTAGTGTAAACAATAAACTGATAAGAAGTAGTACAAAAACAGTTATCATTTATCAATAATGACAAAAAAACACAAAAAGAATAGTCTGCTCATGCGCATATGGAAGTATCGAGAAAAGCAGGAGTTGTAGGATGAACACCATCAATCAAAATTGATTTGAATTGCTGACTTTAAATTAGCCTTACCGTCTATTTAATCACCCGTCCCACCTTTTCAGCGGTTCTGTCTGCTATTCGTTAGGGAGCTTTCCCTCAGAGGAAATACGGCAGTCAACCACCTTTTATTTTGAATTTGCATTTCGCGTATGGTCGTGACAAATCAGTATGATTACCTTGGGCGTTTAAAAAAAGCACCACGTGAGGTTCCAAATGGTATACCTCTATAAAAGTTGCTGCACAAACAGTGACGAAGCGAAAAAAATAAAGCCTGAAAGTCGGTTAAAAAGTAACATAATAAAAAAATAGAATATTGTTAGCCCTGAAATAACAAAACTTTTACAAGAAATTTGAAGCTTTGGGAACACAATTTGGTAAACCAAAAAGGGCAATTTTACTGCATTGTACTGAAATTCCAATCCCAAACTAATTTTCCATCCTTTTGTTGGAGTGACATTTAGTGTATCGGCTTATGTGTCACATTTTGGTCAAATATGCTGAGGTATTCATCTTATTTCGCTTTGACGGTTATAACAGGAGAATTGGGTCTCGACAGTTTTAAATTCTAGAAGTTCACTGAAATACAAATTTTCCGTAATGTTTTCAAAAACAACTAAAATGTCTTGTAACTTCTTCTATGACTAATGTATAAAGGGCATGTATTATTTGGGATCTGCAGGACATAAGCCTTTCAAGAAATCCAAAAAAATGGGACGTGGTCAAAAAATGTCGTTAAAGTACGGGTGAGTGATGAAAGTTTGAGAAGAAGAAAAATGAATGATCCAAGACCGATAATTTGGTACGTTCTAAAAACACGCCGTTTTTTCAGGAGGCAAATACTTTTACATTTTAACCCCTCCAGCATGAAGTGGTTTGATTGGTGTTACATCAACTTCGTTGCATTATTCTTTAGAAGTTTTGAAAACTTTTAAAATATTACGTATTTTTTGTTTGCTTTTATTTGCGTTATTTACTTTTTCTCACTTATCTACTTATGCTTTCTTACTCTTTAGAGGTCTTTACAGCTTCTTCCTATCCTTTTCTAATCTTTTTTAATTTTAAGGCTGTGATTAACTGCTTTTTTTGCAGTTTTTGCTAATTCAATTGATTTTGAGCAGTAAAGCCTGGCTGGGTAATATGCTGTCTTATTCTTTACTTTGAGGAGCGTGAATAATGTTGTGTAATTTTTTTTTGGTTGAGTAAGTGAGTTAAAACTTGAGAATTGTCACTGTTCACTAGTTGTAGGACGGCACATGGCGTCATATTATGTTATGATATGACATGTAAAGAATCACTCAATTCAATTCATCGGTGGATAGAAGATGTTTCGCGAAACGCAGATGTTGGAATAGCAAAAGTTCTAGTCGGTAATTTTTATATAAATTTTGTAATACGTGTCTAAACTTTGCCGAAGTTTCTGTTTGGAGTCTAGTTCTTGAAAATTTTTAGCAACGAAAGCTGACTTAAAAGAAGACCGATTGGTTTCTGAAGAAGAGGGAGCAGCGCTGGCCGAAGCAGAAGGGATGTGCTTTTTTTTAGAAACATCGTCTAAAGAGAATATAAATGTTGAAGAAGCGTTTCTTAAGCTAACTTCTCAGTTATTGAAAAAGCACGGCGGGACTATGCTTCTAAAATCTGGGGGTGACAAAGTCAATATCTCGCTGAATACTTCTAACGTCTCGAGTTGGTCTTCTTGTTGCTATTTCATGTAGACCAGAAACGCTCTCATCATTATGTTATCTCTAAAAAAAGACTGTCTGTGCGACGAATAGAGGAACTAAGGGAAATTATGGCTTTTATGTATAGTTTTCATTCTTTCTTAGGTCTCTGTTTTTTCAAAACCTGTATAATTGTTTAGAATGATGCTCTGCTGTTACTACTAATGGTTACTACCTACATGTCATGTACATTAAATCTGAATTATTGTGTTCTCACACCTTCGTAATTCTTATTTGAATTCCTTTTAAATTTTTTTGACGGTGATAAGCTTGTTTACTGTTTATTGTTGCGTAAAGTTACGCCAGTTTGCCTTTAAACAGTTAACAAAACCAACTACTTTCCCTTCTGACTTGCTTCTGCTTTTGGCAAAAAGCAATAATTTTTGTCTAAATGAAACAGGCTTTTTGCAGTTTGTAGTTAAAACTGGGGTAACAGGTCGCCTGGATACGCTACCAATTGCGTCATTTTTCGGCTTTCGATATTATTACGTTGGACATTTTGTACTGCTGTTTTTTTTTTAAACAAACGTTTATATGTTTATTAACAGATCTTAATAAGCCTTCACTATTTTTTTGGTATGCTGCTAAAATGCAAAATAATTTTAATTATTAATCACTGTATTTAATCTGTTTTGCAAACAGTTCTTTCAGTCGGTATTGTGATTTGATATAAACCATTATTAAAAAAGCATTACTTTTGTAAAAGTTCTTGATTTGTTGAACTTTCGCTTGTTTAAACACTTTGAAGGGGAATGATTTTATCTAATTTTTTTATTGCTCAAGAGTCTCCTTTATATCAATAGGGTCATTGAAGGTACCTACTTCCACTTTCAACCTAGCGGTCTTATATCGGCCAATATTACACTTTGAAGCTCTTCTTCTAAGCCTTCTGTAATAATTATTCTTTACTCAAGAAGCATCTTTCATATTTTCTTCGTGGTTTACATTGTAAAAGGCAAACGCTTCAAATTGGTATCTCAGTGTTGAAAGTAACGTTTTTCAGTATTTTTCAAACCTTAATGACAATAAATAATGTTATTTTAACAGGAAAAGTTATCATTAAAAGGCTCATACTCAGTTTTTTTTGAATTTTTTTGACCACACTGCCCTGCTGATGACAATGACGCCAAATCATTAAATCGTATTATGGAAATGATGCTTTTGTAATTTAACTATGGAGATATCTGGGATTCCATTGTTGGAGGTTTTGTATTGACAGCGAACTTTTGCACTGGTTTTGTTTCTTTTATTTCCTTTGTTACTTCTTAATTTTTAATATTAGAAAGTGTAAGGAAAGAGTCGAGGAAGTCATTTTTTTTAGTGTAGAACCAGGACTGAGAACAATATTTCATTCTGGCAAAAAAAGGCTTGGCTGTCAGTGAAGGAAGTTGAAAGTAAGAGTAAAGCTGCGGCATCAAAATTTCAACTTGTTTCAGTGCACTTTATCGCTGTTTAACATGAGTCGATTGAGGGGTTTGAATGTATCGGTCCCTTAGTTAGTGATTGTGGCTATAAAAAGTTTCCCGTTGCGTATAGAATAATAATTATTTCAGAAAAAGAGAAGCCTTTACAATAAAGTTGATTTTGCCTTAAAATAATGTTAGAAGTTAATTATTAGGGCTATTACACAGAGTCGTTTGGATTAGTCTGATGGCTAACAGGAAATAAAATAGCGTTATATTCAGGAATTTTATAGTCTTACGTTGAGTGGTACGGGACATGTATGGCGCATTTTTTTCTTTGTGTTTTTCTGTTCTGTTTAAAGAATCCGGTAGCAGTATATTACAATAAGAAAACAAGGGTTTTCTAATTGTTGTTATCCAGGTTCCATCCTAATCATCATAATATTAGAGCGTCAGCTTTTTTTCTAAGTCGATAGTGAGGAATCATTTAAAAAATAGAAAAAGTTTATGATGTGGGTCATTCTCCACTATCTGTTATGCTTGTCTTGAGCTAGAGAAAAGGTAAAAGGGAACTGCACGGTGGTATATTTAAATAAGCCTTAATAGGTGAAATGATCGTCGTTAAAAAACTTCAAACTACCATATCCCATTATTCATCTAACAATTTGGAAACGTTTTAAAAAGCTACTGTTTTTTTCTATGCAACCATAAGAGGAGTGATTTGTACATTTTTTGAACAGCGTACCGTTTTCAAAGAAAATTTTGCCATTGTTTCCTATTAACTTGTCTATTAAGCGCCAGTATCTTCTTTTGATTTAAAACTTTCTCAAATCAGCAGCAAACGAAAGTTGTATGACAATAGTTTATAAAAATTTGAATCACCGTTGTAAAAACCACTTTAAAATCTTGATTTCACTAAATTATTCTCACGGTTAACTATAACTTTTGGTAGAGATCTTTAAATATCAGTTGTTCGACCAACGTTCAGAATATTCTTTGCAGTCCTAGTGTCCAAAAGACACGCGTTACCCTCTTAGTTTTTTTTGCGACTCCAAGACGGCAAGACTGCTTACTTTGTAAAAAACTGTGTTACAGAACTGCGCTTTATTCGTTGGCTAGGAACAACAAGAACGAAACAAGAACGATTTGGAATATTGCTACCTTCACAACCAGCTTGCAACTCATAGGTTGACTTAACTCGTGACTTTTATTATATCTTTAAAAACATCTAGATGTCCGTCGTTGGTAACGCGGCTGCTGAAGAACACATTCAAGGAGGCCAACTTTTGAAAGAAAAGGTCTTCGTTCTCACACGTTAAAGCCTAACTCAAGATGCGAAACTTTGACCGGGTGTTGCAGTTTTGCAAAAGAGATCAAAATTTCAAAACATCTAGATTCATATTATGAAAGTGACCTAGAGACTTCATCGCCGGAGATAAGCAGTACTGGATTTTCATATGCGTAGTTCTGAGCATTTGTAACAATCCTTCTAAAGCAGGGGGAAATTTGGCACATTTTCTATAGCTACATTATGATTTCATGCAAGCTTTCAACGAACAACGAAAAATATAATACGAAAAAGCACCTTAGTAGCTGTTATCAGAACCGATTGTGGAAAGAAGGTATTTTCAGTTTTGATAATATCATATGTGGTGCTTCAAAGCTGGTTTGAGCAAGGATCTATTCGAGTCCTCAGGACCGAGAATGTTAAAAAAGCATAAAACTCCGGTGACAAAAGAACAGAATACAAAATGAGTGTACCTCTTTTTTAAGAAAGCTATAAAGGTTTTCTATAGTCGGTTGAAGCCTGCATGTGCTACACTTATAGTGGTACACGCGTCAAATGGACTGTTGGCCGAGTGAATGCCTAGAGGCTATCAACGGATAAGGCGCGGGTGAACACTTCCAAAAGTTGCGTGGAAGGTAGAGTGATACTGTTTGCAAGAGCTGCATAAAAGCAGATTTAGATTGTCGGTGTCACCAATATTTTTAGAGTATGTACATAAAGTAAAATGTTCCCACCACGCGAATGCGTCTGAAAATGTGCCAATCTACTTGACGTGTTCAAACACTGTGAGGTTGGACAAAGCTTTTTTTCGATATCAATTAGGTTTTTCCTTGAAAAATGAGAGCACTTAAAAGTTATCACAACAGTACTGCGACCCTGAAAGCGCTGAAAAGGAATAAAGAAAATGACACATTTCCAACAGTTAATTATTGTTTAAAGTTGTCGAAACAGATAATAATTCAATGAGCTAGCAGATTTCACAAGTTGAAAGACAACAAAAAAAAGCAAACGAATTTTGAAATTCGGACATTTTTTTGATTACGGTTTACTATGTTCTTCTCAAAACACGTGGAAAAGTCCATGAGGTAAACATTTGTCCAACCACGGTACTAGTTGCAGTGCAAAATTGTACAGAAGACATGTCTTACTTCAGATATTTTACAATTACTTAACATTCATTTGAGACTTAATTAATTTTGGTTTATATGACTCGACAGCGCTGGCAGGTTTTTCTTTCCTGCAATCTAATGTTTAAAATTTTTATAAAACCACCAGCACAGCACTGAGTTATATACTACGGTATGACTGATAATTATCGGTATAAGATCAAGGTAAAAGTAAAGCGTCCATACAGAAGAAGAACCCGTAACATTAATTTGGTAGGAAAATATAGGAAAAAAACACTGTATTTAACTTACATACTGCAAGCGTACAAGAACTGCAGCAGTTGTCTTACTGTAATGCTAATCCATCCACTAATTCGAATGCATAAAATATGATGTTTTAAACCTCTAACGACTTTAGAACGTCGCCTCGTTTTCACTGTCTCATTTTCTTAGGCAATTTTGACACGCTGAAGTATTCGTGTGAGAAGTAAAAACTTTGTCTAGACAAGTATTAAAAAAACACCGTTATAAGAAAGTAACATCACTATTTGCTGCTAATTCTTTGAGCATCATTTCTATCTCATAATCGTTATGGTGAGGGCCAGAATCTTTGCTTACATCATTATATCCATATGGTATCAATGGAATTTGTGATTTTGGGAGTCCGATTGGCTCATTTACAATACTCCCGTTATTTGACGTCGAGAGGATTGCTGTCTTTATGGTAGCTGGTGAGCGTGAGGCCTGCGAAGCTTGGATCGAAGAAGTCGATGTCACCTCTGCTAAAATGGTAAAAAAGGTGATTTTTGAACGTTTTCTAACACAGAAGCATACCATGGAAGTAAGAGAAGATTTCTGAGCCGTACTTAGTAAATTTTTTACTTGTCTGTGCACAGTAACACCGATCAAAACCAAACTGGTACAAAAAGGGCTTTTAGGTAGTACTTTTTTTACACTAAGGAAGGTCAACTGCTCAAAGTTAAAGGTCTTTTGTTTCGACAAAAAGGCATGTTCCGCAAAAATCTGTAAAACTTTGTTTTTTATGGACAGCAGTTTCTACAGATTATAACGCAAAACTGCATTCACTGGGAAAAAAAATGGATAAAATCTTGAGTCAAGGATAGTAAGAGCGAGAGGAGTATTAAATATCACCGCTACTTCATTTTATGTGTAACGTTCGTAGTTAGAAGAACTACACAAGTCAAAAATTTTACACAACCAAACACTACAACGATTACTCGAATAGTGCCATAACTGGCCAGCACAAACAGATCCGAGAAAAACTTACGGTCAGAACTAAATTGCGTAACTTGCGGGGTTGAATAGTTTTCTGTTGCTGTCAACAGTGAGGTTTCATTTGCAGTTGCCGGTGCAGTTATTTGGCTGAAAATAATTACTAAACTACGAAGAGAGGTCCAAAAATACCCATGCTTAGGTTTTGAGGGAAGAAACATATTTGGGTTGAATAACAGAATATTTTGCGCCCTATAAACCATGCAGCTCGCTAAAATACCTTATAAATCTCATCTGTTGATTCACCAGACGACCAACTGCTGACTGTCGGGTCCTTACATTTTTATCTGGCTGCCAGATAACAATGTAGACCTTCGGCGCAAAGAAGCAGCATAACGCTACAGTACCACTTAGTGACACTGCCATAGAGAGACTCGTGATTTGAATCTGAAATTCATTTGTAGGCTTCTCGCATTGCTGAAAAATTGATTGAATATTTTTAAGAAGAAAATGTTATTTACTGCTTATTATCCTTGATACCATTAAAATACGCTTTATGTGTGTTTTGAAAGGCAGTCAATATCATTTTCAATGCCTTCGCAAATAGGCAGTTTTTAATCAAAATTCTTTAAAAAATTATAGTTAAGAAACATTAACTCAATCTTATCTTCATAAAATCTGGGATTTTATAGTACTTAAAAAACTAATCAAGAAACATCATTTTAGTCCTATCTTCATAAAAACTGGAATTTCAAAGTACTTGAAAATCTTACTGCAGCAGCTTGGTTTTTTTTTCTGCTGTTTTAACAGCGCTACTTAGCAGTCAGAGTTTCCTTAAAAGACTACCGTAATAATGCATTATGAAAACCTCAAAGTAAAAATAATTTCATTGAATCAAATTCTAACCAATAGATAAAGCAAGCTTCTTTCTTTAAGGCCAGAATAGTTAAACAAATTAATTTTGGTTAAAATACAGAGAAGGTATTACCTTAAAGTTATTTTGAGTGGCAAAATAAATGGGACCTAAAAAGAAATTATTATGAAAAAGGCAAAATTATTTGTTAACAGACGAAATAACTAGCGAAAATTAAAAAATAAATAAATAAATAACTAAAAATTGGCAACTTACCAAAAGAAAGCCAAAGGATGCTTGTACTGTACATCGTGAAACCGATAAGTCTAGTCTCATTGAAATTTTCCGGAATTTTTCTGGTTTTAAAGGCATAAATAGTACATGCAATAATTAAAAGCATATTATACAGCAAAGATGCGACCAAATGTGCTGCTGTAGCCTTACAAGTCAACACCGCTGTTGTACGTGTAGGTTGCTGTATAGTAATTCCAGGTGGTTCCCAAACTAACCAAATCAAAGAACCAACTACCTGTACAGAAACTATAGCAGCACATATAGCTATCTGAAAAATACCGCGTTACAATTAGCTGATTATGAGTAAAAGAGGAGTAAAAATAAGTGAGAAAAAAGCAAACGTACTTGTGCCCGCGGCACGATACAGCCAGGCCGAGCAGCACTTTTAGGAGAAAAGACACGGGATAAGCGATTTGTCTTCGTTAATATAGCTGCATAAACAACGGACATTGAGAGTCCGATGATAATTCTTGAAAGAGCACAAATGTTAGGTGTTGGCTTTGAGAGTAGAATAAATGTAACACAGTAGCAGAGTCCAATGCCGAAAAGCATGCAGTAGCACAGTTCTCGTCCAGAAGCTTTTACCACCGGAGTTTGACTGTACCGCATGAAAACCTAAATGATTTAGTTTTATTATCCAAGAAATAGTGCAACAAAGTTACACAGTTACTCATCAAGAATATTCTTGAATTTCAGAAACCTTATACAACTTTTACTTTTTCAGAAACGTTAAAACCTAGCTCAGTTCAGAAGTGTTTTGCAAATCAAATTTATTGAAATAATTTTCATATATGAATAGAGTGACAAAAAGACAAAGAGGTAAAATTTGAAGTATTTTTTCTAGAATTTTACAAATGTTAATAGAGTAAATAAGAAAAAGTAAACACTTACAGCAATAACGAACGAAGTTGCTAAGATTCCTAGCACAGAAAAAGATGATGGAATTAAGACCCATAAACTATTAAATTCGAAGACCTCAGGCTTGATTGGTTTGCAAGCGTTGTAGAACTGATTAGGCACTTCAATGGCAGGACATTCGACGCATCTAAAACTGCCATTTTCTTGTATTTTTATTGTAAACATTATATGAAACGCATATAGAGAATTTTTTCCAAAAGAAACTTTTTTTTTTTTTTAAACAAAAGTTTTTCACTTTGTCTCATTGATGACAATCGATGTGGCCGGATCACAAGGAATGCACGTCCAGCAACATCGTTGATCCTGATTGTATTCTTTGTACCGGTTACGTCCACACGGTAAGCTACATACAGATTTTGGCATTCCACCCCGTGATTGTGTTATCTTCCTAAACGATTTGAGTCAGTGTTTAAAAAAGATTTTTTTGGAGCAAAAACTTTTAATTTAGTGGATATCCTTGTTTAAGTTTATTCAGTTATTACTAAAAATTTCATCGCTACTCTTTTTACCCAAAATGCTACAAAAAAATTAGAGTATATTTTAGCATAAAGGGGCCCTTTGCATTTTGTGGTTCTCCTAAAAGTCTTTTAGCAAAGAAGACTCCGCAATTAGTGTCATTAACAAAATTTTTCAGACGACAGTAAATTAAAACGTTCAATTCAGCAGACTAAACTTATTGTAATCCTCACCATTCCCTCTGCTCAGTGTTAAAATTCCACATTTTATTTTTTCTGACACTTTTTCAAGCATTAAAACTCAGACGATTGAGATATTTAACGACAAATGCAGGAAGAATTTGTACCTTATTCTTTTTATATCCAGATTCATTGGTTTTCCTGCGTGGCAGAATCCGACTTTTTGATATACACCTTTACTATCCAACTGATAAATACCGTATCTCCCAAGTCCATCTCCGTTAGCATCGATCACAGGAGGGTCTTTTGGCTTGTCTAAAAGTAAGAGTGATAAGACCATTCAACTTTGAAATCGGTAGTTGTCATCACATCTACCTTTGAAAAGCATAAACTAGTTTTAGTGAGGTTTTTTCAACTTACTAGACAGTGAAACATTTCTGTAATATGACTGAAGAATTGTCCCATTAAAGCCGATTTTAGAAACCTCACAATCCCCAAAATTATCAAATCCGCCACAGAATTTCTGAAAATATAAACTTAAAATTTAATATTATAACTTATACTTTCTAGTAATTTTTTTAAACTTACAATACAGTAAAATTTTATCTTGCACTTAATCTAAATTCGGGACGGTTTCGAGGAAGTTTTTTTATCTGACTCTGTTTTCAAGAGTATCTTTTCCCATATGCTTCTTTGCACTTTCGATTCTTAAACATTGTTAAAAAGCGTTTGTTTTAACTATTTCACTAAAAAATGTATTGTTGAACTACAGACTCAACAACTAAAGCAGTAACACGTGCTACTAATGATTGCCGGAGTTGGATGCTTTTCCTAGTATTCGGGAATATACGATTTTTTGGCAAATCATGTTGAGAATTATCTGAATTTGCTCTCTTGTGGTATTGTGTAATGTTTCAATTGTCACTATTTAATTACCACTTGCCTTTAGCATCGTCTTCAACGTCACCAGCTACGTGACTGTGTTTTAAAAGACAATTTAAAAATTGTTTCACAATAACCAGAGTCTGCTGTTACTTCAGTAATTATAAAAAAATTGTTTTTTGAAAGCTGTTCGAAAGAGCTGCTTTCCCAAATTCCCTGACAGGCTTTGATTTATGCGTGCTTCAGAGTATACTGTAAGAAAAGCATTTTTAAATTTTGCATAAAATGACAAACCAGTATGTATTTGTGCAATGCGTTAGCCACAAGCTTGATTGCTGTGACGACTGAAGACACATAAGCCTCCTGATTGAATTTCAATCTTCGTTGCTTGAAACACTCACGAAAGTTTGCATTTTGTACTGAGCAGTTCAAGTATTCCCAATATTCTTGCAAAAACACATTGTCTCCTGGCGATAAATTCAAGAAGTACTCGTTGTAGCCTGTAAAAAAACGTTCGCAGTTTGAAAAATCATTCTTCAATAATTTTAGCAGTATAACTAGCTGAATTTATTAGTCAAAATTATTTTATTATAAATACAAATTAAAAAGGTATAAAGACTAATCATTTTATTAATACTTTTGTCGAACTCTTCAGAAGAAATGTTAGTAGCAAGATAAAAAACTATCAGAAGTAGACCTGGTGTTTGGTTACGATCTGGAGCCACTGTAATAGCACCTTTAGTTATTGCTTCGTAGCCGCTTGGCACAGATCGCTTAGTTCCCCAGGAATCACTTGCGACAAACCTGACAAAATTTTTCAGTTACTTCTCTACTATCAACACTTCCTTTTGGTTCTGCATTACTTTTTTTTTTGTTCTATTTGAAAATAAAGACCCAAACAATGTTATCTTAAAAAAATCATTGGTCAATAAATGACGATGAAAAACGCATTAAATGTTGTGAGCAGAAAATCAAATTTTGACAGATTTTTTTCTTCAATTGAAATTGACCAAACAAAAAATGAAGAGTTAAATTTTGCAAAAAAATTTTTCAACAAAAAATTAGTTGGCAATCACCCTCACTACTGTAGAAAATTCTCTAACAGCATAAAAATTTTATAATCAATAATTAGTAGACAGCTTTAAAAATAAAACTGGTTGGTTTTATCTAATACTACAATAACAAAAAAAAGTAAAAATTTATGAAATCAGGAAGATTATAGAAAAAACAGTTTCTTACAAGAAGTAATTTTTAAACGTTGAATTGCGCTGAATTATGTAGTCTAAATTATATAGAATCCTTCTCAAATTGTCCTCATCAACAAACATGACAACACCACGAGCTTTATTCGTGTTTCTCATTCGCTCAAGCATGGTCCTGCAACAATTTGGGCAGCTTTACATGGTGTCTGCCAGAGTTCTGACTGAAACAATTCTCGCTACATCCACCCATTTATAAATTTCCACTTTTTACCCCTATTTAACTTCAAAAACTTATTTTATGAAGCCAATAAATTTCCATTAGTTGCCAGTGTACTAATTTCCTATTCACAAAATAATATTGTGCTTGAAATAAAAAGAGAAAGTTTTGTTCATGCACAAAAAAAAGCGGAGAAGGAAATGCCTAAAGTCTTCATCGGTCCATCGCCGTCCAATTTTGTGCACGCTGCCGTCGATACAAATGCCTTCAACGTCGGCCGCAGCCCGAAAAGAATCCATACCGCGTTCACCATAACTACCAGTAACAGCTATTGCATGAACATAGGTCCAGTTCAAACGTTTAACCTGAATGCTAAAATGTCATTCAAATGTTAAGTGAACAATACTCAACCAGTGGCATTCAATATTCGTTATTATACTAAGGAAAAAATGTACCAAATTTTTAGCATCCCCCATTTAACATATTGCTTTTCAAAAAAAATTTTCAAACGTAATGCATCACAATTTCTAAAAAGGAAAAATGCAAAATTTTTATTCTTTTCTGATGGCTTTGCATGCCGCGAGATTATTAAAGACTTCCGGTTCTTTGCTTTACTTACCGTAACCAATTTATAGTGAAATATAAGAAGTATCTTGTTCTACTTAATTCTTCTTGTAATAAACAGCTATTAACGACTGGTCAGAATGCTTGGGTTAAAGAAATATTAAACTTTTGCCAATTTTATTTCACAAAACAAAAACTGAGTGCTTTTTAATTTTAAAATTAATGTTTTACTTGTTTATCAGCAGTCTATTTTAGCTGATATTTGGTGATTTTTTGTTGTATTCTCATTGAAATACACTGTTTGCCCAGTGAAAAAGTACTGCTATTTGAACTATTACCTCCAATTTTTGTTCTCTGTTAAACAGGTTCAACTAGATAGTTTTATTTTAGTTTGTTACGATAGAGCAGAAGAATAGCAAAGGAAATAAATAAAGAATAATAGAAAATCATTCTATTACTAGTAACTATACATATTTTTGCTATAAACTCTAAACTAAAAACTTATTTTCTTTCTGTATCAATTTGTTAGAAATTTTTTGCAAACAAGAACACTTGTACCTTAGTGAATTAAAAGCTTATAAAAATTAACAGCTGTTTTACGAAGACCTATTTAACGTTTTGTTTTTTCTCTAATAAACATGTGAATTTAGTGATAATAAAACGAGAAAAGAAACAAAATTTTCGATCAAAATTTTTTGTTGTTGCCACGGGGAAAAAAAAAGGCAATAAATTTGGTTAACAATTATAATTTGGTAAACATTCATTTGCAGGCGGAAATTACAATACAACACTTAGCAACATGTCGGTTCTATTGGATATTAAAAAGCAACAACATTTACTTACTAGACGTGCCAATGTGTCAGCTTGCAGGTCATCAGGAGGAACTACTCTTGAAAAATACTGAAATCTGAAACTTTAGTTTTTTTATTATGCCAAATTTTATTCAGTATAATCAAAAATTTATTTTGTTTATTTTAAATATACTTTTTTATTGATTTAAAAAAAAAAACTGAAGAAGATGTAAATCTTAGTTGAACTGTTTAAAAGTTCAGTCACAATTACCATAAGAACTTATTGTTTTCAAAAACATTTCTTTTTTTTTTTTT